TGGTTGATTTTACTCAGCACCTTGAGTGGCTCCAGCCACCCTCGGACTATCCTTAGTGTTTCCCAGCTCGAGTGGGTTAGCCTACCTGAGGCTTCACCTTCAGAGCGTTCCGGGATCTGCCAGTTGCCCTCTCCTTCCTCAGCCCTATTCTTTATGTGGCCACTTTTGCCCCCGAACTACACAGCCACAAAAGACTCCCTGTGCCCGCCTGTGAGCATCTGAGTTGGGGTGTGGCCCTCCCCTGCCCGGAGTCCTCGTGTGGCTCTGTCTGTGCCATGACCTGTCTGTCAGATCCACTGCCGCTCTTCTATTTGGCATAGCGTATCTGCAAACGTCACTGTCCCGGCTTCTCGGATGTTAGCTCCAGCAGGGCCGGGACACAGGCCACTTCATTCACTACTGTAGAGCCAGGTCTGTGGAGAAGAGCTGGCATCCATTAAGCGCTCGGTGAAAGTTACTGGTGTGGCTCCGTTTGTAGAGTGCTTGCCTAGCGTGCACGAAGCCCTGGGTTTGATCCTCCAGCACGGAACTAAGTGGGCATTTTGGTCTGTGTCTGTAATCCCAGGACTTAGGAGACAGAGGCAGGTGGAGCTCTCTGGGAGACAAACCTGGTCTACATAAATTCAAGCCAACCTGGAACACATCACGGCCTATCTCAGAAATACACATCCTGGAGCCTGGGATTGTGGCACACATCTGTGGGCCCAGCATGGGGGGAGCTGAGGCAGGAAGACCAAGAGTTCAAGGCTTGCCAGCACTTGGGAGACAGACTTGAGGCTAGCCTAGTCTACATAGCAAGTTCCAGGCTAGCCAGGGTTGCACAGTGAGACCCTGTCTTAGAATAAGGAGCTAGAGAGACGGCACAGCAGTTAAGAGTGCTCACTGCTGCTCATTCAAAGGACCCAAGTTCAGTTCCCAACAGCCACCTGGGACTCCAGCTCCAGCTGCTCCAAGGCCACCTTCTGGACTGTCACCTGCAGTCATGCACATACCCACCACCACGAACAAATGCACAAGATTTTAAAAGAAAAAAAGATTTAAGAAGAGCTCGAAGCTAGCCCAGGCTGTCTCTAGCAAGACCCTGTCTCAAAGAAACAAAAACACGCATGGATGTCATATATGGTGATTCACACTCAACCTAGTATTTTAGAAGTGACGGCAGGAAGATTGCCACAAAATCTGAGGCCAGCTTGGGCCACGTAGCAAGACCCTGTCTTAGGAAAAAAGTCACTTGGGAATTCATTGATGGCTTACTGAGAAAGGTGCTAGTGTGACCTGAGTTTGAGTCCTTGGCACCCACGTAAAAGCTGTGTGCTCTCGTGACCCAAGCAGTGTGTGACCAGAGACCGTTAGATCCCAGGAGCTTGCTAGTCAACTGGTCTACCCAAAAAGTCTGACTGTAGGTTCAATGAGAGACCCTGCCTCAAAAAATTAAGTGGAGGGCCATTAATCCCATCACTCGGAGGCAGGGGGAATCACTGAGTTTGAGGCCCTCCTGGTCTACAAAATGAGTCCAGGACAGCCATGGCTGCACAAGGCAAGACTATCTCAAAAAATAAATACTAATAAGCAAAGAAAACAACAGAGGAAGACACTTGGCCGTTGACCTCTGGCCTCCACGTGTGCATAGGCCACAGATCAGTTCTGGGGTGGCATGCAGGGCCCACCCAAGCACCCTTCATACCCCATCCTCACCCAAAAGCCCTGGGGTGGGTTGTCACCAAAATATCAGAAGCTCCTTTAGGCAACTGTCCCAGCACCGCACAGCTGGCAGATGGTGGAGCAGGGACTTGGCCGGGAGGAGCTCCCACCTCTGAGAAAGGAGATTTCGAAACTCCGCTTTCCAGATAAGGGAAGAGCAGAGAAAAGAAGTCTCTGGGGAGACCCTCCCACCTGCCCCTTCCCCCGCCGGGGCTCCTGAGCCAGAGCCCAGAGGGGTGCATGCTTGAGTCTGGGTTCCCATGAATAATTGAGGTTCCTGAAGCGCCCCACAGCTGTCCCCCTCTCCCTGTGCCGGGGAGGGGGCTGCGGTGACGTCATTTCCTCCCCTGCGGGGCCACTGCACCTGGGTTATAAGGCGCTGGCCCCGGCTGTCCCTCAGCGGAGAGGCCCGGGTCTGCACTCCCCACCATGCCGCTCCGTGCACCCGCCTCTGCAGTGCTGCTGCTGCTGCCTCCGCTGCTGCTGGCGCTGCTGCTGGGGGCTGGTGAGTCCAGGGCCCACGGAGGGGTTGGGTGGCGGGGCAGGGTACCCGGGACTGGGCTTGCCGGTGGGGACAAGCTGGTGGGCCGGGGTGCCGGGGGATTGGGGATCAGTACCACGGACAGAGCCCATCCCTTCCTTCCACAGCCTCCTCCGCTCCCCTGGAGCTCAGACCCTCCAAGGAGGAGGTGAGAGGTGCCCTTCCTTGCCCTCCCCATCCCTTTACGTCCCTTCTGCCCAGCTTCTCCCGGGACCCGCACCTCTTTCCATCCTGTAGCCGCTCCGCTTTCCCAGCTCCCTTGCCTTGACCTTCCCCTTGACCGGCCATCCCTGCCTCCCCAGCTAACCCGCTGTCTAGCAGAAGTGGTCATGGAGGTGCTGACCCTGGGCCAGGCCCAGAGAGGCCCCTGCACAGCTCTGCTCCACAAAGGTAGGGGAGCCCCGGTCCCCCTCAGACTCCCAGGATCCTTCCCCTACCCTCCCACTGGCCCACAGTGCTGGAGGAAGTGTTCCCTGGTTCCGGCTTGTGTGGTACTACTTCCGCCCTGGGGCCGAAAGAGCCTGGCTGCCCTGAAGCTTCCCGCAGGATAGGGACTGGGCAGAGAACAGCAACCCGTGACACCCCTCCCAGTGCCAAGCGGTTCCCTTCACGGCGTCAGGAAGGACGCCCGTGTTCAGGGCCTCCATTTCCCAGTTGGGAGCACAAGGGGCATTTTTCTCTGCCAGAGATATTCGAGACAGAGGCCCACAGCTGCGTGCCCCCTGAGAAGAGGTTGCTGCGTGGGGACTTCGCCAGGCAGGAGGCTGGGAAGACGAGGTCCAGCCAGGAGATAAGGGACGAGGAAGAGGAGGAAGCGGCAGAGACGACCCACAAGTCGGAGATACGGGAACAGGCTGCGCACACACAGCTCCACGGCCAGCTTCGCCAGGAGGAGGAAGAAGTGGAGGAGGAGAGCCGACCGGGGAAGGCCTTTGAGCGTACGTGGAAGCCACATCTAGAGCGTGCCAGAGGCCCCCAAAAGCGGGTGGCTGAGAAGGCCAGCGATGAGGAGACAGCCCAGTTTCAGCCGGAGGAGAAGGGCTTGCAGCTGCTGGGTGGAGGCCATGATCTGTGGCAGGGGGCCGAGAGGGCCAGGGGAGAGAGGCATGAAGAGCCCTCGAACCATCACCACTACCAGGAGCAGCCGGGCACCAAGGCCAAGCAGGAGGAAGAGGCAGGGGAGCAAGAGGCCACAGAGCAGGAGGTGAGGAAGGGGCACGAGAAGGCCACCGGGAGTCTCTTCCAACACCTAATGCTAGGCCAGACAACGAACCCCCCCCAGGTGGGTCAGAGTGGCCAAGTGTGCCCCGGGACTTGGTAGCAACACCCGAGCGGGGACAGTGACCAGGAAAGCACCACTAACTACCCAGAAGCACCAGCGCCAGCCACCCACTGCCAGGCTGTACCGAGGAAGTCAGCTCCCACTGAAGCTAGCAGCTACTCTCCTGCCTCACCAGGCTAGAGAGAGATACTGTTGACTAGGTCATGCAAAGCTGAGTCTGTCCCACAGGCCAGCAAGATGGCCTAGGGACCAGGGTCCAATTTCTAGATCCCCTACGTTGTCCTCTGACCTCGCCACAAATGCTGTGATACACACGTGGACACAGACACACACAATACTCATACACACAATAAGTAAATGTATAAAACTTTTTTTTTTTTTTTGGCTTTTTGATACAGGTTTTCTCTGTGTAGCCTTGGCTGTCCTGGACTCACTTTGTAGACCAGGCTGGCCTTGAACTCACAGAGATCGGCCTGCCTGTGCCCCCCACGTGCCGGGATCACAGGCGTGCGCCACCACACCTGGCTTGATTTGTTTTTTTAGATTATGGGCTGGAGAGGTGAGTGAACAGTGTAACAGTCCTTCCAGGATCAACGTGGTGACTGTGACTCCACTTCCAGGGGATCCGAGGCCCTCTCCTGGCCTCCACGGGCACCAGAGAGACATGTGATATACAGACACACAGGCAGCCAGACACCCACACACAGAAAGCTTTCAATTAGTTAAATATCAGCTCAATTGGGAGCAGCAGTCAAAATGGCCGTCACGCCAGACAGGCCACCCAGGCTAGGGAGGTGGGTAGCGTGGGTGACCAGTGTGCACAGGCCCTGGCTTCACTGCCCAGCACTACTGCAGAAGCCAGCTGTGCTGAAACATCTGGAATCCCAGAGCTCAGAGAGTGGAGGCCGAAGGATCAGGAGATCAATGGGGCAGGCTATGTGGACGTCCGTGCTGGTCAGCTGGGCAAGCAGAACTCTTGGGTCTGTGGAAACAAAGATGGTGGCCCTCCCTACCCTGACAGACAGCTGGGGAGGGACTTCCGGCCACCAGTGTATGAAGTGGCCAGACTGATATTCAGTGGCCGCAGAGGTGGTGACCACATTCCTCATCTCTCCCAGGAGCACGGTGCGGAGCGGCTGGAGCGCGTGCAGGACCAGCTGAAGAAGGCCACCGCCATGCTGGGGGAGGCCCTTGGGAGGGAAGGCTGACCCCTCTCCCCTCTCCTCCTCCATACTCCCTAAGGCTCTGGGCTGTTGCCCTCAGAGCCCCCTGCCCCTGGCATCCTGCTCCTCTTCCAACTGGCAGGGGGCGCGAGCAAGATGCCTGAGAGGAGTCCGAGTGGGGCGGGGGCTGGCTTCAGACGACTCCGGACCTCCCCAGCCCCTCCACCCCTCGGAGTGAATAAAGCACAGAGCAAACACCCAGGCTCCCACTTGGCTTTGGGGGGCGGGGCCTGAAGCGAGCAGGAAGGCAGTAGCAGTCTGCACTGGTTATCAGGTCTGATTTTTATTAAACTGGAAATTATATTAATATTAGAACTTAAGTCAGGCAGGGTTGGAGTCGTCGGGAGGGGGTTTGGATGCCGGGGAGGGCGGGAGCCGCTTCTGGCTCCTGCCCCTGTGGACAACAATGTCATCATATTCATCCTGAGGACAGAGGACAGCGCGGGCGTCAGGGAGCTGCCACGTTGCCAGCGCCTAAGAAGGGCTGTCACAGTGGAGCCTGTGCCCCTTGCCCCTCCTCTAACGGTCTCACTACCGCGCCCCACTGTCATACCCACTGCCACCTTCTCCCAGCACCACACGGCTCTTCTCCCCGCTGCCCTCGCCTGTAGCCCTCTTCAAGCTACATCAACCCCTACCCCGGGGCCTGCTGTTGCCCGGGCCCCTCACCTCTGCCTGAGGCCTTTTCCTACGATCAGGGTCCTAGACAGTGACCAAGGCCTACCCACACCCCAGGCTCTCCGCCTCTTGCTCCCAGTTCCTCCCGACACTCAGACCCTCACTGCCTGGATTCACCTCTGCAGGAAGCCTACCCGAGCTCCTCTCTGTTATTTTCCTTCCTGACAGGGTCTCACCATGCAGCCTGGCTGGCCTCAGACTCACAGACATCCACCCGCCTCTGCCTCCTGAGTGCTGGGATTAGGCTGATGGGGTGTGTGGCCAAGACAGATTGCCTTAGCTGTCCGGATACCACTGCCACCCTCGCCCTGCCTGTGACCGTCTCCCACATCCCCGGCAGCATCCAGCCAGGTTTTCTTGCTGCTGGTTACGCTGTCTCTCCCCCCCCACCCCGCGCCGAGATACCCGCTCCCAACTCACGCCCTCATCTCTGCTGTCGCTGTCGCTGTCGCTGCTGCTGCTGCAAGGGCCAAGCTTGTCATCCTCGTCCTCAGGTTCAGGGGCTCCGTGAGCACGGAGGAGGCGGGCAAGGATGGGGTTGGGCCGGAGCAGGGCACTGCCAAGTGGGGTGCGGCCCCCATACATGCGGGCGGCGGGGTCAGCACCAGCTCTCAGGAGAAGCTCCAGCACGGGGGCCGACTGGGCTTCTACCGCCAGGTGCAGGGGGGTCCGGCCGCACGTGGGCTCCTGTGGGATGTGCCGGAATGGTCAGCGAGCCCGAGGAAGGGACAGTGCCTTTCCCACACTGGCCCACCACGGCGGCTCACCGGCTTATTGAGGTCAGCCCCGGCATCCCTGAGCAGCCGGACCATCTCTGCATCTTTGTGGATGACGGCTACATGGAGTGGGGTGTGGCCTGGGGGCAGAGCAACCGTGTCAGATGATGAAGTGAGAAGCCTCACCTCTGTCACCATCCCAGGGGAGGGCCGTGAGGGCGTCAGGGCAGGGGCAGCTTCCGAAGTCCTTCCCAGGGAGGCATCCAGGCTCCTGAGTTTCAGAAGCCTCAGCAGCAGCCGGCGCTACCCTGAGAGCCGTGGTGTCTGGGCTCTACAGGGAGGAGCCCGGGGCCCTGGATGGAAGCACTCAACTCGTGGACCCAGAACCCAAGCCTTTGGTCTTCCTTCATGGAGAGCAGCGGCTGGAGTAGCACATGCAGCCCTGACTTCCACCCCCGGCACCATAAAGAAAGCAAAAGCAACAGTCACAGCAACAACCAAAGTCCTCTCAGGACCTGGGGCTCTGGACACCGGCTACCAGATGCCCTCAGCCACTTATGGAGAAGGCAGGTCCTCTTCCCAGGAGGCCTGGCTGAGAGGGTGGCCCCGCGGCCCCCGCCCGTGGCTGGGATCACGGGATGGACCCTCTCATCACAGGTAGTCTGGGCTGGTGGTTTACACCAGGAAGCAGTTCTAGGGTTGGCACCTCGCAGCTGGGCAGCCCCAGCTCAACCGCTACATCCTGGCACTCTGGACCCGTGGGTGGCAGAGCTGGGTTACAAGCCGTTTGATGAGAGGGGCCCTGTCCAGTTCCTAGTAATTCTGTGGCTACATGTAGGTCCTTAGTCCAGACGCTACGATTTCTGGGGCCCAGGATTGATTTCCCAAGGAGCTGGTTTTGCTCCGGGGCTCACTGAGCAGCATCTTCCTGCTCCTCACTTCGGCCACCCACATGCTGGTATTCTAGGTCACACTGCCATGCCCTGAGACAGGCCTGGCTGAACTCTTTGAGACGGGGTCTCCTGTAACCTAGACTGGCCTCAAACTAGCTGGGTAGCACGAAGGGTACCTTCAATTCCTGATGCTCTTATTCCGCCTTCCAAGGGCTGGTTCTAGGCATCTACTGCCCAGTTGATGTTGGGGACCGTACCCAGGGCTCTGTGTATGCCAGATAAGCACTCCATCAACTAAGCCATGTCCAAAGCCAGTGGCCGGGTCTCAAGCTGGGTGAGAGGAGGCAGGGGCCTGGTGCCCGAGCTCTGGCCGGGAGCCCACACCCTTCCGGGCCCAGGGCCTCACCCTCATAGTTTTCAGCCTCCAGCTGCAGCTTCCAGTCGTCATCGCTCGCCTCCTCCTCATTCTCTGGGTTGGGCTGGGGGCTCACAGCAACAGGGGCGTGGCTGGTGTCTGGGTGCTGATCCTGGCTCTGAGTGAGGTAGTTATCGGAGGCATCCCGTGGGCATCTGGGGCGGGGCTGGAGCAGCACGGACACGCACGCGTGTGCCCTCACCCGGCAGGCCAAGTGTAGTGCGGTGTGGCCGCCTCTCTCAGCCACCAGCGCTCCCGCGCCAGCTGCATACAGCTTCTCTACCGTGGACGCCTCCCCCAGGATGGCTGCTAGGTGCAGGGCCGTCTGCAGGGACAGAGGGCAGGGTTAGGGCCACACTAACAATCCTGGACCCGGCTCCCTCGAGCGACCACCCCGGCAGCTCACTTGGCCTAGGTCATTCTGCAGGTCCAGGTACTCAGTGCCGGCAGAGAAGCCCAGGAGGAAATCCAGGAAGGGCTCATGCCGATGTATCACGGCCAAGTGCAGGGCCCTGCGGATGGAAGGCAGAGGTCGGTAAACACGGCGTCTACTGTGCGCTAAACGGTGGCCACAGTGGGAAACACTTCCCTGTACGGGAGTCCAGGGGCAGGACTTAGCTCAGCAACTCTGGCTGGCTGCTAGGTGCTCCAGAGAAGACAGGGTCTTCGTAAGTTGCCCAGGCTGGCTTGAGTTCAAATCCCTCCCACCTCAGCCTCCTGAGCATCTCGGCTGTCAGGCCTGTGCAAGTAGGCAGGCCCAGCTACCGACTTTGTTTCACCAGTGTTTGCTAGGTAACTTAGCCAGGTGGAGTAGCTCAAATCCCAGCACCTGGGGAAACTGAGGCAGGAGGATTGTCAGCTCAAAGCCAGACTGGGCTACCTGGTGAGTTCTAGACAAGTAGGGTTAAGTAGCAAGGATCTATCACACACACAAAGCTGGCAGACAGCACATGCGAGAGAGGCAGAGGCTGGTGGATCTCTGTGAATCACAGGCTGGCCTGGGCTGCACGCTGAATTCCCGGTCAGCTACGGCTACACCATGAGACCTTGTCTCAAATGATAATAAAGGGAAGAGCAACTGAGGTAGACAGCCAACATGGATCTCTGGCCTCCACACAGAAACATACACAAAGATTGGGTATGATAGCTCTGGCACTAATTTTAACACTTGAGAAGTTGAGGCAGGAGGGTCACAAGTTCAAGGCCAGCCTGGGCTACACAAGTGAAGCCCTGACTCAAAAAAGAAAAAAACAAAATTTAAAAAAAAGGAAAACAAGGGCTGGGGCTAGGATGTGGGTTAGGGGAGCGCTTGCCCAACGTGTGCATGCCCTCAGGATGGACTGAGAGCACCACACACACACACACACACACACACACACAGACACACAGACACACACAGACACACACACACACACACACACACGCACGCACGCACTAGCTCTGATAGCAGACCTCCAGATTACATTAAGGAAAAGCTAACAGAACAAGAAAAAGCAATAGACAAATCCACAGTTTGTCTCAGTGCTGGCCTGAAAGATTTCAATAGGTCTCTGTCACTGATGGTTCGAACAGACAGAAAAATGTCAGCAGAGAGGCAGTCGACTTGACAGCAGGAGCTTTTGGTGGCTGTTGCTTTGTTTTTGCAGTGGTGGGGACCGAACCTAAGATGCCCCGAATGCAGAGACGCACTCTCCCACTGAGCATCCGCCTCAGCCTGTTTCTTCCCTTTCTTTTGAGACGCGGCCTTGGCTAGTAATGTTCCCCAGGCTGGACTTGAACTCACTCTCTTCCTAGGCAGCTCCCGAACTTGAAATCCTCCTGCCTCAGTCTTTTTTGTGGCTGGAATTACACACCCTGCTCTGAGCAACACTACCTCTGAATCACATATCACCAAAATGAATTCCCTAGCACTCAGAAAGTGCTGGGTGGGATGGCCCACACTGCAAGAGAGACACTAGAGACCGCAAGTCAGACAAAGCATATTCTTGGCCCACAGTGAAACGAAATTCAAAGCCTGTAATAGAAAGACACCTGGAAATTCCTCCAAGTGTGGAAAATGAACGTGCTTCTTCATAATCCACTGGCCAAAAGAGAAATCAAAAGAGAAATTAGAAAATACACTCAATTAAACAAAAATAAAAATACAATGTATTAGAAGTTCTCCAGTGGAAACATTTATAGCATTCAAGGCACATTAGAAAAGAGGAAAGGTGAGCTGGGGAGTAGCTTACTGGGTAGCGTGCTTGCATAAAGTCCCAGCATCCATCTCAGCACTGCATGAACCAGGCATTCGCTACCCAAGACCAAGAGTTTAAGGACAGGGGCTGGAGCAACCGTTTAGCTTACCGTTTAACTTAACCGTTAACTTAACTTAACCGTTTAACTTGTTTTTTCTTGTATAACACCCAGGTTTGACTTCCAGCACCTACATGGTGGCTCACAACCATTCCTAGCTCTAGTTCCAGGGATCCAACAAGCACAAATATAGTTTACATACATGCATGCAGATAAAACATACATACACATAAAGTAAAATTTTTTAGGAGGCACAGGCAGATAATCTCTTGAGTTCAGGGCTAGCCTGCTCTACATAGCAAGTTCCTGGGCAGCCAGGGCTACACAGCGAAACCCTGTCTCAAAATACCAAAAACAAACAAATAACTTTTTAAAGTGTTCAAGGCTAACCTGAGCTGTGAGACAGTGACTAAAAAAAGGGGGTAAGAGGTGGCTGGGGAGATAGTTTGGTCAGTAAAGCACAGTGACCGTAGTTCAAAACCCACATAAGAAAAGCTGGGTGTGGCTGTAAGTGCTTATACAGGGAGGTGAGGGCACAAAATCCCGGAGTGAAGCAGTGGAGGCGCACACCTCTGATCTCAGCACCCAGGAGGCAGAGGCACAAGGATTTCTGTGAGTGTGAGGCCAGCTTGCTTTACACAGTGAGTTCCAGGCCAGGCACCCTATTACAAAAAGAGGAGGGTGGGGAGAAAGAGATGATCCCGGAGGCCAGCTAGTCTAGCCTAAGTGGTGAGGGCTAGGCCGGTGAAAGACCCTGTCTCAAAACAACAGCCCAAGGTTGTCCTCTGGTACACACACACACACACATACACACACACACACACACACACACACACACACACACTGGCTGGGCATAGCGATGAACACTTGGGAGGTGAAAGCAGGAGGATAAAAAGTTCAAAGCCATCCTCAGCTACAAAGCAAGTTCAAGCCATCATGGGTTACTATGAAACCGTCAAAAAAAAAAAAAAAAAAAAAAAGGAAGGAGGATACACATTACAAAAATTAAATCCAAAGTAATCAGGAACTAATTAACCAAAGTAACCAGAAAATAATAAAGGAACAAGAACCAACAAAATAGAAAGTGAAAAATAAGAATATTAAGGAAACTAAACCTGGTTCTTTAAGGCTAGTGTTTATTGTATTCCCCTCACGGGTCAGGCCACTGAGTCACTGGGCAATCAGCACAAAGGACAAAAAAATCCCGGGTACAACCCCTTACACAGACCTTCACCACAGCTGTCCCTCTCTCCAGCTTATCGACTAATCAAAATTTCCTGCTTTTTACATTTTTTTTTCAGTCTCCCTCTCCTCCTTTTCCTGTTCCCTCCTTTTGGATACTGGGTCCTCCCAGTCTGCCCAGAGATCCTTCTACCTCAGCCCCTTGAGCCCCTTGATTACAAGTGAGCACCATCACACTCAGCTAAAAGCGGGGACTGGATCAGGTTAACAGATGAATCTATCCTTGCGGAAGTGAGGTTTCTGAATTTTATGTAGCTCTGGCTGGCCAGAACTCTCTTTATAAATCAGGCGGCCTCAAACTCACAGAGATCCCCTTGCCTCGGCCTCCCTGTATGCCACCACACCCAGCAGCTCAATTTCTCAATTACAGATCAAGGCTGGAAATATCAGAGTCGTAGACTCAGGGCCAGGGACTAATTTTTGGGGAAAAAAAAAAAATCTGGCTTATACAAGATACAAAGACCACTTTTGGAAGCCAGAGGTCAGAGAGTGTGGGAACTAGACTGCCAACAAAGGTCTGGGGACCCTGTTGAATAGGTTCAGATCCGGCTTGGCGATCGTCAGGAGGTAGGATGTGGATGCCAGGAGCTCAAAGTTAGAATTCCAGAAATGCCGAATTGACAAGTCTGCTCTCACCTGCACTCAGGTGAGAGCAGACTTGTCAATTCGGCATTTGGGGGTTATGGTCAGGAAGTCCAGCATCGGAAGTCAAAGATAGGAACGGGAAAATAAGAAGTCACAGGAATCATAGGCTAACAGGGGCTCAGGTAGGATCCCAGGGCTCTGTTTGGTAATTAAAGGTTTACTCACGTGTCCCCATCCTCAGTGACGTAGCCAAAGACCAGGGGCGCCCACGACAGCTCCGGGCCCAACTCTGCGCCCAGACCTGGTCCTCCTGGAGCCGCAGCGTCGGGACCTAGAGAGCCCAGGCCGCTGTCGCACCATTCATCGGCGTCCGCAGTTTTTCCCAAGCACGCGACCCCAGCCATGGCCCCTGCCACCTCTGGTGGCCCCCTGTGGTCGCCTGGGCTCTGCGGTGAGCTCCGGCGCTTCCGCCCTGCTGGGAATTCCCCAACACGCCCCCTTATCTACCCAATCAAAATGTGCTAAATCGCTACACCCCGCCCCCGTACGGCACCAAAACCAATCAGAATAATGAGGTGGACACGGGCTTGCTGAGTTTCCCCACATTTTCCAGACGCCCTTTATTAATATGGCCGCCCGCGCCAGGCCTTTTGGGATTTGTAGTTTAGTTCCATAAGAGGCGCATTGTACGAAAGCGGTTACGGGACCGCGTTGCCTGCCGGTAGTTGTAGTTCCGTGTCCTAGCTCGCGCCCCCCACCCTCACCCCCGTCTTGTTTCCGGTGCCGTCACGGGACAGAGCAGTCGGTGACAGCCCCAGGGCCCCCACCCCGCTCCCATGGCCGAGCCGGACCGTGAGTCAGGGGCCCGGGTGGGAGGATCGGGCCGCGCCGGGGCCTGGCTTTGGGCTGCAGGCCCCGGGGCCCGAGGGCAGGCTCGGTGGGGCGGGAGACAGGGGCTGTCTGAAGGGAGTGGGATTTGAAAGGCGGTTGCTAAATGATCGGAGTTGCTAGGTTGGTGGATTTCTGGGTTGTGAGATTTTAAGGGTCCGTTTGCCAAGTTCTTAATGATTGCGTTTCTCGCACTTTGACTGCTGAGGACCCTCGTTGCTAAGGACCAAAGTTGCCACCATCCCGGTTGCTAAGGTTGTCTGGTGTCAGGGGCAACTAACTATAGGATGTTCCGGGGACCCCTGCTGGCCTTTCTGTCTCACTCCTTCAGCCCCTGTGCCTCCCTTAAGCACCCGCTCTCACCGCATCTTCTCTCCCGACTCCCGGCGGAAGTATCCCTACTTGGCTCTCTTGAAAAACTTCGTCCTCCCTCATTCGCCTGGCTGTCACACACGCTACCATGCCCTACCTAACTTTGAAATCTTCCCTCAGTCCCATTTCACCTGCTTTCTCCTCCTAAACCTCCCCCTCCTCAGCCTTTTCACCTCACACATTCCTCCATTCTAAAATACGCCTTTTCCGTATCCGACAGTTTTATTACCATCCCTGCCTCCAGGATAAGTAGGTTGGTGGGACCTCTTGTTACCTCCACCGCTGTGAACCGTTGGTCCCTTAACCATTCCCTCCACTGTAACCACGTCTGCTCCCCCTCCCCCAGCCTCTGACTCTCTGGAGACCCAGGCAGGGAAGGTGCAGGAGGCTCAGGTGAGATGGGGAAAAGGGTGGAGGGAAAAAGAGAGATGGACTTGGTTCCACATTCCATGCTGGGGGGAGGTGGCAAGGGAAGCCTTTTACCAGAAGGGCCCTTGGCTGATAGCCCGGGTTCCTGACCCCATCTGGGGATTAGTGTGGCCCCCTGGGAATGGTGGCTTCTGGGGACTGTCAAGGAAAATGTACAGCTTCAACCCTCGGCGCCCTCCTATATTGTCCTTACTTCCTGCTGTTGCCCGCCCCATCCTCAATCCCTTCCGAACTTCATTTGTGCTGGGCCTGGAAGAGAGAGTTTTCCGGTTTGTTCCCCAAACCCACAGATCCCATGAGGTGGGAGCATGACCGTACAAGGCTCACTCTAAGAGGGGCAATCCTGGGTGTGTGTCTTCCTGTAATCCCAGCAGTTGGGAGGCTGAGGTGGGAAGGTGGAGAGTCGAGAGACCGCTTGGGCCTTAGAGTGAGACCCTGTCTCAGAAATGGGGGGGGGAGGGTCAGTCCAGGAGTGCCAGGAGTGCACAGCCAACTTTGTGGGTTCCAGAAGATGATAGAAGATTCTAGCCAAACTCTTTCCTGGAGGGCCCCACAAGCTGATCTAGGAACGAGAGCAAGATATTATCACAGTGTCGTAAGTGAATAGGTTTGGAATTTTCTGAAAGAAGATCAGATCTGGTGTTCCATGCAGAGTATGAAGAGCTGAGGCTAGGAAGGAGTCGTAAGTGTTCTCGGTAGTTGGGTTGCTGGGGTGGTCCTTTATTGATACTCTGCTCGTGCTGTCATGCACACGACCTCATGTGATCTCTCTAGCATCCCAGTGAAGGGAAGGCCTTTCATGGCCGAGTTACAGATGAGGAATTTGACGGAGACCGTATCTCCTGGGTCCCTTGAGTAGAGACAGGGAAGGAGAAAAGCTTGAGGCCTGTGGGAGAATGAACGCTGGAGATGCTGTGGTTCATCGGGGAGGTAGAGGTAGAGGTAGACACCTCAGAGGTGTCTGACAACTGCCAGGGCCTCCAGTCACCTCAGAGGCAGCTTGCCCTCATGTCCTAGGCCAGCGGTTCTCAGCCTTCCCAGTGTTGCCGCCCTTTAACAGCTGCTCATGTCGTGGCGACGCCCAGCCATAACTGTCAGTTTACTGCCGCTCTGAGTTGTACTGTAACTGTCTGACATGCAGCCCCTGTGAAAGGGCCGTTTGAGCGCCACAGGGGTCAAACAGGTGGAGAAACACTGTGCTAGACGGCGCCTACAACCACTGAATGCTGAATAGCTCATCCTGTGAGAGCTGTCGAGGGAGGCAGGTGCAGAGGCCGTGGTCAGCATTAGCCCGCACGCGCCCAGCAGAGCTGTGACAGCCAGCTGAGGGTCCCCACTATCTTACTGGCCTGGCTCCCAAAGTAGACTTAATGCCAGACCAACAGGCTCCACAGTCAAAGGGTTCTCAGTGGCCAAGATGTGGGGGTGTCAATTGCGGCATTATCCAGACAGGGCACCACTGGCGATAGCCCCGGTGGATGGCAGGAGGCAGAGTCAATGAGCTGTGGTTCTCATACAATACGTTACTATAGCGCCACAGTAGAGAATGTGGTGGGTGCTGGAGAGATGGCTCGATGCTTAAGAATGCTTACTGCTTTTCCAGAGGACCCGAGTTCGATTCCAAGAACCTGCATCAGGCAGCTCACAAGTGACTGTAACTCCAGTCCCAGGGGTCTGACTCCGTGGGTACTTGCTCACATGTACATATTCACATAATTAAAATAAATTAAAAAAAGAAAAAAATGAGGCGGGTATGTGAAACCCAGGCCCGTTTCTTCAGCACCAATGAGTAAAACCTCATGCAGAGAAAAGACGAGTTAATCCTGTTTAGCTGTTGCCTGCTTTTGCTTTGACATATTTGCTCATTATCCAAAGGCTCAGGAGGCTGAACAAGGAGGATTATGAATTGGAAGCCAGCTTGGGTGAAATAGTAAGACCCGTCTCAAAAAAAAAAGCCTGCATAAGCTCTTTTTTAAGATTTTAAACGTAAACCATTTGCTTGATTTGCTCTGTGGGTAGGACACACGCACGCGCCACAGGGCGTGTGTGGTGGTCTCCGTCCACCATGTGGAACCTGGGATCAAGCTGCAGCCGGCAGGCTTGGTGGCCGGCACCTTTCCCTGTGGACCATCTTGCCAGCTTCCGTAATTTTAAGATCAGTGGAGACTCCTTGTAGAGTCAGCCCTGTCATCCCAGCACCTCAGAAACAAAAATGCAAGGTCACTGTCAGGGATCTAGCAAGTTGGAGCCAGCCTGGGCTATGTGGGACCCTGTCAAAACAATACCAACAAAAGAATCTTTTTAAACAATGATTTGGAAGGGAGGTTTGGAGGCAGAGAGGGAAGGGAAGGGCTGGGGCCCTTTGCGCAGGGAGGTTGACTGAGCTGGTCACACTGTTTCTGACCTTTGCTGCAAGGCCAGCCCTGGCCTGCCACCCACTTGGCATGTGTTTGCTGGCAGATGGCTCTGGAAGTCCTGTTATTTGGGCTGGCCATTAAGTGGTGAACATAGATAAGCCTTAGCCTTCTTGTGGCTGATATGATGGCACTTGGTAGCTGTTTGTGACTTAGGTGGGGGGTAGAAAGAGAGAGGTGGGCGGCCCTAAGCAGGCCATCATATGACAGGGAATAAGCGGAGGGGAGGGGAAACTGAGTCAAGGAAACCAGGGAAGGACCCCAGGAAAGGGGACAGGTTGAAGCTCTGAGGTTGGGAGAGGAGGTCAGTGGAAGGGTGCCAGGAGGCTGCATGGCTACACTGGAAATTGGCATGAGGGCAGAGTGGAGGGGAGAAGCCAGCGAAGGGACAGTGAGGCCAGGCTGGGAGCAGGAGCAGGCTTCAGGGAGATGCCGAGGCCACCCAGAGCAAGGTGGGGTCACCGTGAGAGGCTCCGGTCTGGTGACAGAGAAGCAGCATCACCGGTGGCATGGCTGTGGCAAGGCCGTGGCAGGCCCCGGGTAGTGGAGAGGGCCAGCTGAGAGGCCCAGGGATTCGCTGCTCAACCTCTGAGCTGTGTGTACAGAGTTGAGGCCCAAGGGCTGGAGGTCTAGCTGTCACTGTGGTCGCTCCCTAGCAAGCATGAGGCTCTGGCTTCGGCCCCTTGTCAGGCTGTGGCAGCTGGTTAGTGTTGGACGAGATCCCCCACATCACACCCATAATCCCAGCACTCCGGGGAGACTAGAGTGGAGATTAGTCTAGGTAGAGACAAGAGGATCAGAAGTTCAGTGTTATGTAGACTTCAGAGCGTGTTGGAGGCCAGCCTGAGCTACAGAAAACGCTGTCTCAGAAAGCAAGTTAAGCACGGTAGCACATGCCTTTAATCCTAGCAGTCAGAGAGAAGTAGAGGCAGCTGGATCTCTGAGTTCAAGGGTATCCAAGTCAACATAGTGAGTTCTGGGCCAACCAGGGATATATGGAGACCCTGCCATTAGGAGAAGAGACGGGCAGGCATGGTGGTGCACACCTTTAATCCCAGGAGGCAGAGCCAGGTGGATCCTGGGGAGTTTCAGGTCAGCCTGGTCTACACAGGAAGTTTCTAGACCAGCCAGAGACCCCATCTGACAGGGAAGCTAAGGCCTAGGAAGTCCCTCACAGGAGGAGGCAGCCTGTCCCAGGGGGCTCCCTGACACCGCCCAGTCAGAGCCCTGCTCTCTTTGAACCAGGAGTCACCCCCTCCCCTTCCCTTCCCCTCCCCCCTAACCCACTTCTTGGGCTTGGCCATCCCACCTGCCCCTTCCAGGATTCGGCCTCGGACACTGAGGGAGGAGCCATCGGTGGAGAGGCAGAGAGTAAGTGTGTTCCCAGAGGAGGGTGGGCAATGACCTGGGCCCTAGGGTACCCTCAGCACTACCAAGGGTGATTCCCAAAGTGTGTAACAGTGGACTTGGTGCTGGAGGCTGCTGGCTCCGGAGACAGTGGGACCTCATTGGTGGGAGGACAGTGGTGCCTGGCTCAATGGCCACCCAGCGCTGTGTCTCTTGTTGTTGGCCAGTGGACTTCCTGCGGAATTTGTTCTCCCAGACTCTGGGCCTGGGCTCCCAGAAGGAGCGCCTGCTGGATGAGCTGACCCTCGAAGGGGTGACCCGCTACATGCAGAGCGAGCGCTGTGAGTCCCCCACTACCAAGCCGCAGCCCAGCCCTCTTACTCTATGGTCCCTAAAGATGGAGCTTCCTACCTCAGCCCCACAGAGCTGGGAGTCTAGACCAGCACCACTAGGCCAGACTTTGGGACACATCCCTAGTGAATAAATTACTGCCCCCTGGGCAGGAGAGATGGCTCAGAGGTTAAGAGCATTGGCTGCTCTTCCAAAGGTCCTGAGTTCAATTCCCAGCACCCGCATGGTGGTTCACAACCATCTGTCATGAGATCTGGTGTCCTCTTCTAGCGTGCAGGCAGAACACTGTATACATAATAAATAAATCTTTAAAAATAAATAAACAAACAATACTGTCTTCTGATGGGCCAGGCCTGTGCCCTAGACTGGAAGTGACAATACCTCTGGAGTGACTCAGAATGAGGCTAAGGAAATTAGCAGAGGTATAAGTACGCCCAACATGCTGGGCACAACTACACTCCCGGCTACTCTGGCAGCTGAGGCTAGAGCGTCTAAATTCACAGCCTGGGGTACATTAAAACAAAAGGGGGGGCAGTGGGGGCACACACCTTTAGTCTAAGCACGTGGGAGCAGAGGCAGGCGAGAGAGACTGAGGCGACGGCTCAGTCCATAAGGTGAGGGCACCCAAGAAGGTCAGCGCTTGTAACTCTAGGGCTGGGGAAGCAGAAGCAGGGAGCTCCAGCTAAGCCCAGGCCCCAGTGAGAGACCCTGCTTAAAAACCACAGTGAGGGTCTGTGAGCTGGCTCTCGAGGAAAGGCACTTATTCCACGCTCAACACAAGAGCTGCATCCCTGGGACCCACGTGATGGCAGGAGAGAGACAACTCAGGTTTTCCTCTGACTTCCACATGCTTGCTGTGGCATGCACACACAAAGAAATGTGAGGGGGAAAAAAACCCGGTGGATGGCCCCTGAGAAATATCACACACACACACTCCGAAGAGATTAACATATTGGAGCAGGCCCTGATGAGAGCTATGGATGTGTTTGCTACCGTGTTGTTACAGGAAGCTTGTGTCAGGTGTGCCGTTTAGAAGCCAACTAGGTGGGTCACGGTGAGGTTTCTATTTCTTGCTGCGGTTGCGTCACCAAGTCTGGGAAATCAGGCCTTCGCAGTCCTCCGAGAACAATGGAGCTTTGAGGGTCCTGAACGGCCCTTTGTTGAGGCCATCTTCTCCAGTTTCGCCTTTGCCCAGCTGCCCACCTCCCTCCTTGGCAGCCAGGATGGTAGCTGAGCCTCCCTCTCCTGCCACAGGCTGGGCAGCCGCCTGCAGAAAGAACCCAAGCCGTGGCCAGGAGGCAGCTGTCCTTTCCTCTTCTTATACACAGGTCTTCGAGGCTCTGGCCTGTAGGGTGCTGGTGAGGGACTCCAGATGAGTGGTAATTAGCCAGGCCCTTGCTCTTTGCCAGGGTCTGGGCCAAGCACCTCACAAGCATCCTTGTACTTAATTATTGTGGAAGAGCTCTGAGGTCTTTCTAGAAGTAGGCTGAACAGAAGAGGAAACTGAGGCACAGAAAGGCTGTGAGTTCATGTGAACATCTGGCAGGTGGCACAGTCAGATTTGATAGCAGCCCCGGAAGCGTGGTCTCGCCTGTAGCTTGGGTGATTGTCTTGCTTCAGTCTCCTAAGGTTTGGTATTCCAGACACATACAACCGCATCCAGGGGTGTGGGGCCCCTTGAATCTAGAGTGTGTGGTCCCCCAGTCTCAGGGCCCATGGTATCCAGCCAGACAGGGGCCAGTTCCCTGAGTGTACAGGCCGTAACAGGCTTGTCTGTTTGTCTGTTCTGTTTTTCAAGACAGCTTCCTCTGTGTGTAGCGCTGGCTGTCCTAGAACTTGATTTGTAGGTGAGGCTCGCACCAAACTCACAGAGATCCACCTATCTCTGTCTCTCGAGGGCTGGGATTAAAGACGTGTGCCACCATGCCCAGTTTACAAATTATTCGTGTGTATATGTGTGGTGTATGTATCCATGCAGGGACATATGTGTTACCATGTGCTTGCCAGGGGACAACTCTCAGGAGTCACTTTTCTCCTCCTTCCATGTGGTTTCTAGGAGTCAAACTCAGGTCACCAGGCCTGGCAGAAAGTCCCCACTGAGCCATCTCACCAGCCTGTGGCAGGCCCTGACCTTTGTTCACCCTGTTGTCCCTTAAACAGAACACCCCAGGGCTACCCAGTCCATGGGATGCCACACTTGTGTCTGTCTGTCAGCTGACAGACAGACGCCGGGGCTCTGTGTGGCTGGGCTGCCTGCCAGCCAGCAGCTGAGGCAGTGACAGGGCCATTTCTGCCCAGCTCTGCACCTGTGAATGGATTCAGCCATTTCACCCCGACTAGTTCTTTTGTAAGAACTATTAAAAACTGAGAGCCAAGCCCTGCTAAGAATACAAACCATGGTCTGAAGACATTTGACACAGCTGAGGGGCCGGGGACAAGTGCCTGCCTAGCATGCACCCCAGGAGTCAGTCCCCCACCCCCCACGCAGAAGCTGGGCGTGGCCGGGCTTAGTGGCATCCTTCCATCCATGCTCAGAAGGTAGGGGCAGGGAAGTCAGAGTTCTCACACTGAGACCCTATCTCAAAGAAAGAAAGGAAAAGCTGGGCCTAGCGAGGCTTGCCTGTAATCCCAGAACTTTGAGATGGAAGCAGGAGGATCAGAAGGTCATCCTTGCTGCATGGTGAATTTAAAGCTCACCTGCGATACAGGAGAGCCAGTAAAAAAAAAGATTATTTCGTGCAGTTGACACAGCACCCCGTGGCTTGTGTGAGAACAGCAGTGGTGAAGGGATGTGTCTAACATGTTAGCTTCTGAAATTGAAGCCAGGCCTCCCAGCGCCGGGGAGGCCAAAGCAGGAGGCTCGGGGTTCCCGGCCAACGTGGGTTACACAGGGAGACACCATCTCCAAACCAGAGAAAACACAAGGGGCATGCTGGTGCACACCGAAACACCAGCACCTGAGAGGTGGAGCCAGGAGGGACAGAAGTTCAAAGTCATCCTGAACGACATAGGAGGCCCAGGGGCAGCCTTGGCTGTATGAAACCCTGTCTCAAATCACCTTAAAAAACAAGCAAACAGCGACACTCTTTAGCCAGGCGGTGGTGGCACACCTTTAGTCCCAGCATGCAGGAGACAGAGGCAGAGGCAGGCAGATCTCTGAGTTCCAGGCCAGCCTGGTCTACAGAGTGAGTCCAGGACAGCCAGGGCTACAGAGAGAAACCCTGTCTCCAAACACCAAAACAAACAAAAACAAAACCAAAAAGAGCTTAGGGCCTGAAACTAGCCAGCTCTGTGGCGCTGAGGTGGCCCTAGCTCTCTCCCCGAGACCTCCCCCATTGCTTTTCCCCTCTGCTGTCCCTTCCCCTGGCTGGCTGTGTTCTGCGCCTGTGCCACCTCCTCCCCGCCAGCAGCACGGGTAGGAGGGACCGCATGGCAGCATGCACACTCTCCCCCCAGGTCGCAGGGTCATCTGTCTGGTGGGAGCCGGAATCTCCACATGTAAGTGTCCCTCCGTCGAGCCTCCCCAGGGAGTCGGGGGTCCCGGAAGGGGTCATGCATTCTTGGGGCAGAACTCTGACTGTGGGTGCCCTTTAGCTGCAGGTATCCCTGATTTCCGCTCCCCATCCACTGGCCTCTATGCGAACTTGGAGAAGTACCACCTTCCTTACCCGGAGGCCATCTTTGAGATCAGTTACTTCAAGGTACGTTGCTGACATGGGGGATGGGGCTCCCAACTCCGGTTCTTCTCTTACCTGGACCATGTGGCCCTCTGGTTCTCTCTCCCACAGAAACATCCAGAACCCTTCTTTGCCCTTGCCAAGGAGCTCTACCCTGGGCAGTTCAAGGTGAGGTCTTTTCTGCAGGGGAGATTGGGAAGGAGGCTCCTTATAGGCCCTTCAGACAGCGCACATGATTGTGAAGAGTGCAGCTTCTGGGGCCAGCAAGATGCATGGTGACGAGTTTGATCCTGGAGCCCTCATGGTGACCTGAGTTCAATCCTGGAGGCCTCCTGACTGAAGGAGAACCAACTCCTGCACGTTATTCTCTGACCTCCATATGTGCATTGTGTCAAGTGCATACCCCCAGATGGATGGATGGATGGATGGATGGATGGATGGATGGATGGATGGATGGATGTGTGGATGGATGGATGGATGGATGGATGGATGGATGG